TTAATAAATTACAAAAATATTTTTTATATTAAATAGAAAGTATTTTAAATAATGAAATAAGAACATTAAGAAAATCTTAATTAAAAAAATATCATTATTTATTAAAAATTATATTATGATATTTTATTTAAAATTCTCTTGCAATTTCTTTAAAATATAATATTTTATTTATTTATAATAAATATTATGATAATGGAAGGTTGTGGTTTCCAACGTAACGTTTATCTTCTCTCCCACTAGTTGATAACTGTTCACATGATGAAATTTGAGCGCTCACATTTTCAGCTTCCAGGAATTATTCCTTCTCCGCACAATTTTACGGTTACATGAGAGAAATTTTGGCGCTCACAAATTGCCTCCAAAACGTAGAGTAAATCTCCACTGTAAACCTCCGCAATCAAGTTTCAGTTTAAATCTTCATTGGCAATGAGAATCTCACCATCTCGATAACGTAAACTCACATCACAATACGTTCCGCAACCCTTCTCACAGACCCCAACCCCTGGTAACGTTTCACAACAACCTGTAATATTTGTTTTTTATCTTAGGTTATCATTGTTTATTTAACATTAGTATTACTCTGTATTTTTGATAATTTTGTTTACGTAGAGTGAATCATGTCCAAATACGAAGAACAGAGATTACAAAATATCAAAGAAAACAAAGCAAAGTTAGAGGCTTTGGGATTGACACATAATTTTTATCCTTTGAAAGTCGGACTGAACTCAAAATATACAAAAAAAGAAGGATAAAGAAAAGCTTGAAGAGGATGATGTAGAATATAAACCAAAAAAGGTCCAAGCTTCGAAGAAGATGAAAGGGATGATGAAGCAAATGTAAGTACTATTTCTCTTTTTCTTACGTATTTGATTAGTATTTTTGTAATATCTTGTTATTATTTTAATCATTAACTATTTTGTTTTATAGATAATAAGACCAATCAAATTAAATTCTAAAAGGGTGGCCTTAGAGTTCAATCATCCTAATCTTGAAGGAGCTACGAGTACTTGTATAACATCTTTTCTAAAATTTTGGATTATTTATTAAAGTTGTACTAATTTGTTTTTAATAATTTATTTTAGACAAACAGGTTTTAAGGAGACGTGGACATACCATAAATGCAAATCTTCAAAAGAAGAGGGCAAAACTAACAACAATGAACAAAAAGTTTGATATCCAATTTCCTCTTCCATATTATAAGTTGTGTGGAAAACACGCTAAATATTTTAAAGTCGAAGCAACGGTATGTATTCGTCAAAAAGCTCCTTTACAGAGTTAAAACTTGGAAAGAAATATCCGAAGATGATTTAGCTATAATGTGGAATCATATGAAGGTTAGTATAACTCTATTAATTTAATAAATTTGAATTTTATTTATTATCCTAAATAATTAATGTGTTTTGATCTTGTTTTATTGGTTACTTTTTATGAATGTATAAGGATGCATTATATTTGTTGGAAGAGGATAAAGATCATGCAATGAAACAATTGCAAAAGCAATATAGAAATAGACATTGTCGATTGCATAGAATATATGTTGAAAACAAATGTAGGCCGTAAGATGTGCTTCCAAGTGATTGGAATTGGTTAATAAAGAATAAATGGAATGATTCCAAATTTCGGGTAAAATTTCTTTTATTATATATTTTGAATTTGATTTTATATGTAATTTTGTGTCATGATATAAAATGTTTTATGTATTTATACAGGAAAGGAGCTTGAAAAATAAAGATAGTAGAAGCAAACAAGAAATCAAATCAATTATCGGCACAAAATCAATTGTCCAAAAAGCATTTGAAATGGTAATGTTGTTTTTACATTTATAAGCACAAATTTTATATGATATTTTATTATTTTATATTTATTTAACCTTGTCTTTGTTTAGAAAGAAAAATTAAAGAACGACGAATGGCCAAATGTCGTAGAAGTATGGAAGGCTACACACATGAGATCCGATGGAACATGGTGTATTCCAAATGGAGAAGAAATCATGGTAATTAAAAATAATTTAACTTACACTATTAGTATATTATGACATATTTATAATGTAAATTATTTTTTCTTAATATTTTATAGGACAATTTGAAGAATGTGGGTGAAGTATACAAAGAGGAAATTTCGAAGCACCTATTCCATTAGTTAAACACTTTCAATTTGTATTAGGAACAAAACCAAATCACTCACAAGGTATAGGCACCTCATCAATGACCAAAAAAATTAGGGAGAAACAATTTGTTCAAAGTCAATTGGAAGATGAACAAAAAAGAGCAAATGATTTAGAGATAGAAGTACAAAGATTGACTAATACTAATATTCAACTTCAACGTGAATTGCAATCTCAACTTGAAGTTCAACAGGTTACTATGAAGCAAAATATTGAAAAAGAGATGAAGCGTCAAATGTCTATTTTATTAGGTGGTTTATCATTTACAAGAATATCTAATGATTCAACTGTTCCCTCAAATGAAGTAAGTTGTTTGACTATTTTAATTTTTTCACTAAAATATCTCCAAATTTTTAGTTTACATATTTATATATCTAAAATATTGTTAATTATTTTTTTATTAATACTAATTATTTTTTATTTCATTTTACAGGATCAAATTCGTTGAAGATAGTTCAAGTTGTTATTATTATTTTTTTTATTTTAGAAATAGTTATTTAATTGTAACGATCTGGACTAAAAATATATATAGTTGTTTATCATCTTTGAATTTAGAATCTTGTTAAATATTTATTGTGTTTTAATTTTTATCATTTATAATGTAATGGATAATTTATGTTTACATATTTGTTTTTATTTATTCATTATAACTAAGCAAACTTAGAAGACTTGTATATTATTTATATTTAATAATTTAATGATTAAATAATAATTTTAAAAATTAATAATAAAATTAAAAATTAATAATAACAGCAAATATTAATATTAAAATTATTCTTATTATTGTTAGTATAAAAAAATATAAATAATAATAATAATTATTTTAGAAATTATAATAATGATAAATAATTACTATTATTTATTTGGGACATTAAATTAATAATAATTATTTCTATAAATTATAAATAATAATTAATTTATTATTGTATTTTTAAAATATTTGCGATATTGAAATAATTATTTTTTTATAAATTTTTTATAGTGATAACTTTATTTATCACTATTGTGTATTATATTTGTGACAATTTATTATTATTACTATTATATATAATTATTAGTGTTAAATATTTTTGTTACTATAAAGCTTAATTTTAGTGATATTTAAAAATATTGTTACAATTATATTAGTGACATGGGTATAAGTGACAATCAAATTATTGTTACAAGATATTAATAGTGATGAATTTATAACTTTTAGTGATAAATATTTATATCACTATAATTAATTTTTTTTGTAGTGAATGTTCCTTCGGTGCAATATCTTTTAAAACAAAAAATTTATTGTGTTTAAGAAATGACAATCCAGTAATAAAAATACTTTAAGTTTACTTTAACTAGGCAAAACTCTCACCAATAATTTCCAAAATTGGCAAATAGTCTCACCCAATCCTTGTTGACCCAGATTCATTGTCTTGCTACTTTGGAGAACTAATAATCAATGGCTGAATCCAATGATGTAGGTGTGACCTCTGTTTGTGGGCTCTTTCCGTTGGTGTTCATTCTTTTGTTAGTTCTTTGACCACTTCTTACGCAAGACAGCCTTAGAGGTGCTAGGTTTGCTAGATTCGGCATTGATCATAAAAACCCATAGTTACATGGAGATTATGATCTATTGGTCGATTTTCTATGTTTATAATATAACTGACAAACTAAAGTTCCCTTCACATAAATCAAATATGATCAAAATGAGTTAATTTTGCGTTGTACAATCGGTGTGTATTGATAAACTTCAATGTATAGAAAAAAAAAACGGTTTACGATCATGATTAAGTGGTGGGATATATGCAAGAATTTTGATAATTTAATTGATTTCAAGAGAGTGAGTAGGATGAATATATTCAAGGTTTCTCTTTACGTGCAATTATATAAGAAAAGAATGTGCATGGTGATGGTGAGGGAGTACCTCATTCCCATTAAGGTATGATTTCCAAGACATTTATGAGGTTTGGTCCATTTGAATCGTTGATTGAGAGAATCATGTAATCAATCATGATGCTTTTTTAACTTATTCATTTAATGTTTCATTAAGTTGATATTTTGTTTAATGATTGATAGATGAGGGATTTTGTTTGCTGCCTTGCTTGGCAATGATGGAAGGGAGGGTGAATTGCGATATATATAATGAGAAAGAAATATTATTGCAATATAGACTTTTAAACATTATTGACTTGAATAATGTAGTTATAAGACTCGTAATACATCAAAAATTTTGAATCCTTATTCGAAAATTTTCCTAGATTTTGTGGAAACCATATTTCTTTCAATGTCTCTCAATGCTCTTGGTTTTAATTAAGGGGTTATAATTAAGGTTTTACACTGTCCGTGGTTTACTTTTGATCTTTCTAATGGTACCACTGACTGGTACCTTCTTTTATATATATTTTATCCTTTCATTGGAGAAAAGAAAAATATACCCCTTGAAGTGGTGGTTTTGGTGAGCAACCTAAGTAAACCATTCATGTTTGTAATTGGTTCACCTAAAAGAACCACCAAACTTTTCCAACATTCAATTTGTTAATTACTATGTATTAATGTGGAAACCTATTTGTAGAGCTAGCATAAATATTCTGAAATTAAAGATGAAAAAACTATGAATTACTATGTATAGAAAGACAAGTTGAATCCACATAAATCTCTCTTTTCTACCCTCTCATATATACGTGCACATATAAATCGATTAGAAAATTACAAAAGTGTGTCGTTTTAGTCTTTTGATCACTATTCGCTTGGCTCTGGGCATGCTTCAATCATCATCACTGTTGATCTTCCATCGGCAAGAGACTCGTGCGTGACTCACAAATTAAAACCAATTTTCTTCCTTGCTAGTTCCAATTTTCTACGGAGGAGTCACACTCTCGAAACGATGACACCCTCTCATCTTGACACTAATCACGTTTTTATCCATTCCATCTGACCCGTTCATTATCTCGCAGCATTGCCTACGTGGCGCCTGCTCATTCATCCACATTTTTTAATAAATTTAACAATTTATTTAATAAAAATTGTGTTAATGAATGTCTTACGTCGTGGAAATTGGAATCGACAAACACGCTGTACAAAACAACATCACTTACCTTTTTCCACGCCTCCGATATTAAGTGCGGTGCGTAAACGTCGACGTATTGGACTACTGAAACCCGCACGTAGTCTTCACGCGCGCACACGTTCCCCGACGAGTCTCTGTGCCTTCTGTAGATAGACCGCGTCTTATTCCCGCCCACGTTCAGAACTCGATCCAGCATATAAACGACTGGTTTCTCGCATGGGTCAGAACTAACGGGTCGAGTATTGAAAGTAAACGGGCCATCGCTCCAACTCCGCCACGTGCGGAAAGTCTGAAATGCCATTTCTAGTTCCTTGACCGTGCGTAGAGAGGGATATATCTCAACGCTGTAGCCCCACGACACTGAAACGGACCAGTTTCGACGGAGGTCGTAACAGAAGCTCTTCTGCAGGGCCCGACCCGAGTCCGTTTCGTACGTTGTCATCAATTTTCTAACGGCTTCAACCCGGGTCATGTTGGGGAATATTGGGTCCACGTAGTCCAAGTGGTGCAACGAAACCAGTGGTACCACCGGATGTGACGCTAACAATCCATAAGGGCTCCCATGTATATCTACCTGTAATAAAACAATAAAATCAGTCGACACAAAAATAGAAAAATGACATTTTTAATTAATTAATTAATTTATCATAATTTCCTCTGTTAATCAGTGATTGGATAGAGTCATGCAAAATTGATTTTGAACAGACTGTAAATTGATTTCAGAATGAATACTGTAAATTGTGTATTAACAGTATAAAGATTTGTTCAAAGTCAACTTATTATAAATTTTGTTCAACAACTTAAATGCGCTCATTTTATTATTCAACATTATAATGTTAATTGTCATTTTTAGCTTTCGATAAAACGTTATAGTTATTTATTTTATTTCCTAATAAATATTACACTTTCTTGAAATAGTTGATAATAGATTCATAAAATTAAATAAATGATTAATATTTAATAAAATTGTCCATAATATATTATAACTTAAAAATATTAACTCATAATTTAAACAGATAAATACTTGGTTAGCAAAATACAAACTTTCTAATTCGAAATAATTGAAAATCATAAAATCAATTAAACCAACAGAAAACCCACCTAATTTCTTATAAACGTGCCTTTCCAACACATTAAAAAAGAAAAAGAAAAAGAAAAAAGAGATAAAGACCACACCTGATGAAAACCTGGTTCTTTGGTCACCTGAACTCCAATCTCACTGATACAACTTTGAATTTTCTGATCAGAGCCATAAAACTCCGCGTAACGATCAATGCAACCGTCCAAAATTCTCACCAACTCCTTCGCCAAAGGGTAACTAATCGCAAACCCACCACCACCAAACGCCATTGTGTAAAAATGTATAACATCCTGTTCAACACTCTCGGAATTCCCACCCACGTAGTACATTTCATTATGATCATACTTCGACAACACCATAACGAGGTTGTCGGTGAAGAAAACGGTGTCGTCATCACCCATGACGAACCACCTCACGTTTTCCACCCCTAGCTCGAAGCTCTCCTTCACAATCCGTGCTATACGAATAGCTGATCGCGACCCGTATGAACACGTGTAATTGAACGCTGAGGTGTTGCCGGAGACCTTATATGGCGGTGAGGTCTCCGGCCAAGTCGAATTCCCTGGGTGTCTGTCGAGCCACACAAAACCTCTTGTGACACCGGGGCGCCACCAGAGTTCTGAGTATTGGCGGCGTGTGTCCCAGGTGGCCACAGAGCCGCCAATACCGAAGAAGAGGTGGGAGATATTGGCGGGTGGTTGTTCCTGGGTGGTTTTCTGTGGTTGGACGACGTATTTGACGGATGTGTGGTTGTTGTTATGGTAATGGGGTTGGCTATAGGATAGGGTAAGGTGAAAAACTAGAGTTATGAGGAAGAAGGTTGAAGCCGCAAGACCCGCTTTGAGGAACAAAAGGAGAAGTTCGCTGGGTTTGATGTTGGGGAAACGAAGGGTTTTCCATGAGTTGTTGAAAGGGTCCCGAACCGAGTCCACAGCACAAGACATTGGAAAATGGATTGAAATTTTGGAGCAACAATGGAAGTAGAAAGGATATGATATATCATACATGCACACAAAAGTATATAATGTATTTGTTGAAGGTAAGAAGAGTATACGTAGTGGAGCAAGTAGTTATAAGTGGCTTCAACGTCTTCCTTTATATAGGTGGCAATGAAGGAGATGCCATGTTCGTGCCTACTCCTCCTATGATCAACTCAAACAATTCTGGAATCTTATCAATTAGTATCTGGAAAGTCAAATCAACATTTGTGCCTAATTAATCACCTTTATGTTATCATAATAAACTTTAATGGAACAAAATTCACTCTCCACTCTTAAATGGATTTTTTCTTTTTGTAACTCGAAATAATAAACGTTCTTATTGTAACGTGTGACCTTATGTTTAGTTTTTTCTTATTTTTTCTCGAAAATTCCGACATTATTAATTGTTTTCAATTTTTTATTCAAATCTCTTAGATTACAGAAAAATAAAATCTTTCATATTATTTTTTTCCTCAATTATCTTCTTACGTTTTTCAAAATATTTTTTTATTTATATCTAAGTTATTACATTGAATTCGTTTTATTTGACTTTATTTACTATTAATTTCTTTAATGTTCAAGCATTTATTTTCATATCCAAATATAAATAGATGTGTATTTTCTCCTTTTAGACACAACAACAGTTTTATTTCCTTTCTCTCAAATTCTCTCTTCCTAGATTTTTTTTCTTTTACATATATAAGTTGATTTTTCTTGTAATTTTACATTATTGCAATTTTTGGCACTCCAAAACACTGAATAAAAAAAAAAACGTTTAATTTTATTATATTTCAGACTCCAAAAAGTTTTTACATTCCATAACATTGAATCAAGATCCCACTATTGTGACTAAAATACTTTAATACTATACGCAATTATTTAGTAACTTACGTTTACAGTGTTTTTCTTTTATATTGAATCACAGAATTACAGCCTAAGAGACGTCGAAGATGGACCCCAACGCCAACTTCCTTTTTCAAGTTCACCTAATTTTATCCAATACAAACATGTTTTCTCAATCCAAATGAAACATAAATATGTACCTGGATATATATGTTTAGCATGTTCTATCCTTAGTCTTTATCGTCGATGACAAAGTTTTCTCTCCGTACAGGGCCATTGAAAGCAAGAGTTTTGTCCATTTTCTTAAGTGAAAAATACCATTTCATAAGACAAAAGGAGTCACATAATACCAACTTTTCTATATATAAGTTTACGTGAGCTAAGACTATAAATTGAAGCCTTCTACTAAATGGGAAATGGAAAATGCCTATATTAAATGCTAACAACAATTTTTGTACGTGTCAGCTCAATAAGCAAGAATAAATATATATTGCTTAATTTAGTTTTTGATGGGTATCACTTTAACCCACGTTGTCTCTTTATTTCAATTTTATTTTAAAATATTATAACAGATAATATAATATATGTATTTATACAAACTATTTATAATATATAGTAATAGAAAACTTTTAATAATTAAAATATCATAAAAATCAAACTCATCGGTTTTTCATCTAAATTAAATTATAATTGCGGAATTCAACGCATTGCTAAGTTTAAATGTACCTATTATTCAATAATATATTATTGCGGGAAGTCAACTTATAATTTATGTTATATAATATCAGTATAGAACTAATTCAACTTATATAAAATTATTTATAATATAATAATTATATCTCTTAATTATTTTCAACATTTTTTTCTCTGTTCCCACCCTTGTTCACCTCTTTATCTCTCTTCTTTTCATCTCATATTTCTTATCTATGTGTTCATTAGCGGGTGGAGATATTGAGGAGTAGACGTAATTGTAATTATAATATTGTTGGCAAGAAAATGTCTTATACAATATGTGTTGCATGGTAATATTTGATTACGAGATACATTAGGATAAATATTTTTCAAACGTTTAAAATTGAAAACATAATGTTACTAGTTCAATAAAAATAAAATAAATTTGACTCTAATCAATTCATAAATAAAAAAATTATTTATTATTTAGAATTACTATAAAAAATTATCTATTTCGACCCTTGAAAACAATAAATTTTCATCATGAACTCATGCCTCTTGCACAAAGTAAGATATTGTGATCCGATTTGTCGATGATGTTTCAATACATAGGACAGGTTAAATTATGTAATAAAAGAATCAAATTATTATATAAATATGGCCAAAGGAAATGATTTGCATGACGTGGTACGAAAGATGGGAGGGGATGAAAGGCTATAGATAGAAGGGACAGAAATAAGTTTTTTTTTTTTTTTTTCAAAGTAAAAATATTAAATTACTAAATTATTTTTAAAAAAAGTTATTTAAAATAAAAATTATGGTTTTAGTTTTAAAATATTTTGGTGTAGAATGCTAATTCCCACCCCAATAAACACACGGATCTCATTCTAAACATACAATTTCATTTTAGGGATTAAAGTCTACTTTAATATTTCTATTTTTTACTTTCTTTCCCGAAACATATACACAGTGTCATTTTACTTTCGTCATTTTAAGTCTTATAAATCTCTTTTTATCATTGTAATTTTATAAATTTTATCATTACGCATAAACAAAAATCATTGATTGATAATTTCATTTTTTATAAAATAATTATTTCTAATTTATAGTATTTTCACTATCACAAATTATTCATTCTAGATTTATCATTTTCCTTTAGTTTTTTTTTAAAGCTAAATCTAATGATTTTCAGCATTTTCTTTTTCCATTTCATTCACAAAAGTAATCTCTTTATTATACATAAGATTTTAGTTTTTTCATTTTTTTTAAATATTAACTGAATTATGTATCTTTTATTTTATGTTAATATTTTTTTCTTAACCGACATTGAGTATTCAACAACAATTTTTCAGTAATATCAATTAATATAGTAACATAAATTTATAAACATATTTCCCAACTAAATCTTTATATAATAAACATGCCACATAGATAATTTGAAATTCCGTTTTATTTTTAACTCTCAAGGATAACAAATAAATAATAATTTAGTAAATTCAGGTAAAAAAAATACATGTCACTTCTACCCATTTTTCTATTATTAACAAATTATAATTGAAATAAGTAGCTTTTTCTTACAAGTCATGATGATAACTAACCTCCCTTAATCCTCAAATGTTATAAATAAAATATTTTATTAGAATAAAATTAAAAATTAAAATATTTAATATTTATAATGCACATTTTCAATAATTCTAAAATATTTTTTATATATAAATTGCCTAATGTTTTGTTTATTCTTTTTTAACAGGATTAATAAAAAATTGATAAAAAAGAACTATGATTACGTGTTCAAGATAAAGAGTTATTTACTTGTTTACTAATTTAGTTATTTAGATAAATGTAACGTCTATTTTTTATTTCGATAAAATTGTGATATTTTTGTTTGCTATTATTAATATAATGTTTCAAAGTTTATTATGTTAGAATAGAATAGAATGAGTAAAGAAAATAAGTTAATATATTTAATATAATAGTATTTTTTTCTAAGGCATTGATGTACTAAGTTTTCACATTTCTCTATATCCATTTTTTAATCTAAATTACTAATATAATATAAAATATTTTAAAATCTCCACAAAGTGAAGGTATATTATCTAGCACTATATTTACTATAATTCTAGCCCCTTCAATTTTATTCCTCATCATATCATTAAAAATTTTATAGGTAAGTAGTGGTTAATCGAAAGCTAGCAAGCTACTTAGTGAGAGGAAAAATAGAAAATTAACGGCTTTAATTTCCTTATAAGTAGAGTTGACCCACTGTGGAACTTAAACTAATAATCTTTTTAGTACGGATGGTAGTGAAAAAACAAATCAAAATCAATGCCAAAGTTTTCAAAATAAGTTTTTGGAAAAAAAATGAAAAGTATTAGAATTGAGCTGATAGATTGGAAAAGCTAGCAAGTTTCAATGAGATCTTTTATGGATCTATTTTGGGAGCTTAAGTCAAAGATGGCCCTTTGTAAAGTTCTGAAATGAATTGGTAAAATTGCATGCAAAATTAAGTTTTGAGGAGATTTTCGACTGTCACGAACCTTCAATGTCTTTAGTTAATGTGTTTCCACATATGAAGGACAAGGGAAAATGATGGGCAATGATAGAGGTTATTGTGTTTTCACAAGTTTCATTTGTCATGGATCTTTTGGAAAAATGTGTGTAATTTCCAACATAACAGTGATATGTTTGTGACAGGAGATAAATATGCTTAGAGAGGAAGTTTTCACCAATACAAGTATAAATAAGTGTCTTGACTTGATGAAGTTTGTGAGCAAGTCATTTTGACATTGAAGGAGTTACTATTTCTAGCTTGCAAATAATTCTTGATTGAATTCTCATTTTTTATGTGTAGATCTTGGGTATATTGAGTTCTGTTGTTTTTCTTATTCCTTTAAATCATTTTGTATTGATCTTATATATATATATATATATATATATATATATATATATATATATATATATCCTTATGCATATTCAAATGTTACCATATGTTATGATCCATCCTATGACAGCAATTTAAGTTGGAACATGCAATATATATAATATCAAACCAGCTACCCTTTAGTTGCTTGGAATCATATTTTGAGACCAACTTATAACTTCTTATACATAATATACTCAAAGTAAAAACTTCAAATAATAGCTGCATGATTACAAAAGAAGTTTACACTGAGATATAACATAATAATTACCAAAAGAATAAAAAAGAAAGACAAAGGGAAAATCACAAACTTTATCTGCTATAGCAGAAAAATTCAGACACTATTAACACAACTTCACATGATAGCGTCTCATTATTGAGCCAGCAAGACATACATATATAAATAGAGAGAGAGAGAGAATTTAATCTTGATGCAGTACTGTGAGTGAAAAGAATATCCATACTGTATCAAAATTAAATTCTTAAACGTAATTAATTACCTTTATATTGTAGATAAGTTGGAAGAAGAGCTAGGTATGAAATAGCAACTTTTCACTGATCTTCCACACTTGGAACGCAACTCAAAAGAACGATCTAGTGTTCAATGTTGCCGACTCCTGGGGATGAAGGCCTAACCTAAGTTCAAGGTCTAAATCAGCTTTCTTCTCCTCAATTCGCTGCCCCGAAACAAAAGAAGGAAGCTGAGGAATTTCTGCTGTACCAGTCAACATGCCCCTTTGGGGTGCATGATCATGATCATCTTTGTGAGGGAAATTGAATGGCATTTTATAATTTCTAGCATGCTTCTGATCTTCTCCAGAATCCAACCGAAACAAAACTTTCTCTTCCAAATCAGAAGGGTAATTATTGTGATCAGTTGTTGTCTTGGTAGAGATGTCCAACGAAAGCAAGCTTTCTTCAGAAGATTGCTTGAGCTTGGCCCTATCTCTTCTGTGGATGTTCATGTGGCCTCCTAGAGCCTGTGCATTAGAGAACCCTCTCCTGCAAAAGGAACAAGAATAAGATTTCACTTGTCCAGGACCACCTTGATCATCTGAGCTCCATCTTATCTCAGAGTTGTGAGAGTTTTGGGTGTTGAACTCCATCTTTCTTTGGAGAGTGAAGGGGAAATAGCAAGAAGACATAAAATCCACCAAGAAAAAAAGTTATGAAACTGTAGTCAACAGATTGGCTGAGACAAAATTTATAATCAGATTGGAAAACTACAGAAGCTATGCATCTACGAGTTTTTTGCCCTTTTTTTATTATGTCAGCTGAGTAATATAGTTATAACTTAGTATGTGTATGCTATTAAAAATGGTAAGAAAAAGCTTGAAGGCTAATTGAATAAAATATTAATAAGCAGCATCTTTAGTACTCATTCAATTATTCTACTAGACATTTCCTTTTACACCACCTTGAGAGGATGAATAAGAATTTATATGATTTTCACCTTGTGCTCTCTTAGGCTTGGTGAAAAGCTAAAACAATGTTTTCCCTGAGGGTAAAAGTTAACTCAAGTTTATATGCTCGTTGTGTTAGCTTGTGTGTGGCAGCAAGTACAATAATAATTATGTCTTCAAAGAATTAGTTAATCGTTTATCATAATAGAAGCTGTCATTTGCGGTATTAATATTTCTTTTGGCTATTTAACCATATATTTGAGAATAATGAAAAATTATATAAACAATATGGTCCACTTGTAATGGTATTAAACTCTTCATTAGCAATAAGGGGATATATATATATATATATATATATATATATATATATATATATATATATATATTATTTTGATTTTAAGTTCTGAAATAGAAAAGGTTTTATATTTAGAAATTAGGCATGAACAGTGCTCTGATGAAATTTATCCATTTTCTTACAGAGGTTTCAATATATAAATTACGTGGTTTGTTCGCCTGATGTTAGAGTCTCTTTAATCAAATTTAATTCATATCTTCCATTTTTCTTGTTAGTAAAATGACAACTTGGTATAGATGAGTCTATCGTCGTTGCTTCATGTATAATAATCTAAAAGCACAGTGATATATATATATATATATATATATATATATATATATATATATATAATTATTCTGGTATTTCTTAAAATTTTATAATGTTTAAGAATTAAATTTTAAAATAATTTATACATCCTCATTTATTATTTTATGAAATATTTTATTAGAACAAAACTACTTAACTCAAAGTAGATATATTTTTCCTGTACTCTGATGTTTTAACCCATCTAAATATATTTTGAAGAGAAAATTGTAACGGAAATACTAATATCTACAATAACCAATACTTGGACTGATGATGATAGATTAGGTTGAAACTAAACAATTGAGAGAAATTAGAAACTAATTAAGAAGATATTGTGAATTTTTTACTTAATTAATATGCGATAAGATATATGAAAAGCATTAAATTTTGTGAAATTAGCATTGGGTGAACTCGATGGTTTATCAAATTATGCAATGATATACCAATGGATGGATTAAGTTCTGTGGTCACTTTCTATCCTTTTCGTTTGTTTTATATTCTTACCAATCATACTGGTATTACGTTGGACTTGTCGTTGCTATTAAGGTTAACAAATTTACTTTACTTGACGCAAACAACTTAATCACTGTACTCCATTTCATTTTGTCTCTACTTCAAATGATTTTCAGTGTTGCATTACTACACACAAAATTTTTTTCACGATTCTATTCATTACTTTCGAAATACTAATTTGAGTCTAATGATATAACTTTAACATGTAAAGCCAAGTCGATCTTTTATAGAATGTTAAAACTCAAATATACCAAGTTAGTAGAATAGGAAGCATCTAGAAGACCCTTCGCAGATATACCAAGTTAATTATGTGTTTGAATGGTAAATAAAATAGTCAATTTCATACACATATAAATGGTAAAAAAATTTAATTATAAACCCCTTAATATTAATATCAACAGATTATCTTTGTCAAGAAAATATTAATTGAAATGCATCCAAATGATTTTCTTTATTTTTGGTATGTGTACATTTTAAAAAATGGTTTCTATTTACATATCCTTTTAAAACCCGAAGACAGTATTAATTACTATTGTTAATTTAATTTTTTATTTTTATATAATAGTTTACTATTAGAGTTCATTTTAAGAAGGAAATTTTAACTTTTATATAAATAGTTATTAATTACATTTCTTAACTTATGAGTTATCATTATAAAATGAACTAATAAATAATATAATAGCTTGAACACCACTTAAACTAAAAGATCAGCAGAAAATTAACAAAAGCAAACACTAAAATTGAGACAAACATTTGGCAATAAGCTTGATTTAAGGATAAGGAAAGTTTTATTTTACCTCTTGGAGCTGCACTCAATTTAAGCTCATGTAAATGAGTTGGTTGAAAAATAGTTATAAAATGTGACAAAAGCGAAGAAAAGAGCGTACAAAATCAGTGCTAAATCATTAATACCCAATAAAAGAAAAAAAAATACAGCTATTATATATTTTAAATATTTCTTTATCCAAATAATCCTAAACCCTTTTAACCAATGTTTTTAAAATATCGGTTATCTCGTTAAAGAAATCAGTTTAGAGAAATGAGATTTGATAAAATAATATTTTTATAATATAATAAATATATAACAAGTTTATTAATAATAATACTTTTATATAAAAAATAATAAAAATGATTGTCATGAGTATAATAAATTATAATAAAAATTATAAATATAAAATAGATTAAAAAGTAAAAGATGAATAATTATTAAAATAAAATAAAAATATAATAAAATAATTATTATTTAAATTTGACGTAATTAATATGAGATAAAAAATTTAAAATATATTATATGTTTTATAAAAAATATTATATTAAAAAAAATTGATTATAAGTATATTTTTTTTATCAAAATCAATTCAATAAAAACTTAGTTGATTTTTTAAATTTTTATTTGATTCTGTCCCAAATTTTGTAATTTTATCCCAATTTAATTAAAATTTAATTATTTAAAAATAACAAATCAATTTCTCGATTCAACCAGTTTGATTGGTTGGATTTTCACAAGAATGCTTTTAGTAACAAAAATATAACTGACTAGACTTACAATATAGTAAACTATAAAAAACCTTAATGATTATAATAATAGACATGATTATAACTAAATTACAAATTCAATTTTTTTAATGTAACTCTTTAGTATATTTTTAATAATTGATTTTTAATTTTTTTAAATCAGCTTTTAGTGAGTAATCATATGATGATAATTAACGCGTTACAAAATCGACATTAGATGTTTCTAAGTTTTTTCTTATGTACATATAAGTTGTCTTTAATTGACTTTTTTAGGTAGAAACAAAAGATACCATTCTAATCAAATGGTTTTACATCAAATTCTCATTAAAGGTATCCATCAACAAAAAAGAAAAAAAAAAGTACCATATCACCTCCCAACCTAGCTGCATCGATTTATGCAGCAGACTTGACTAGCCATGGTTAATTCATCGAGTTGGAGTTCACACATTATAATTGAGAGAGCTTGTCATTGTGTACCTAATTCATGCATACAGAAGAAGAAACAAAAATTGCGTTGCAAGGTCCAATGAGTCTTGTTGGGAAAATATTCTCTTTGCGAATATAAAAAAGCAAAGCATAATATCATAGCCAGTTTTTAAAAAGATTGATTCTGGAGTAGGTGGCAAATTTTGTAGGGATTTAGAAGAGAGTGATGAGGAAAGAAAAAAGGTGAGACAGAATGCAAGCAAATGGATTTATGCGCAAGGGAATAAGGATAACAAGTTTTGCAACAAATCTGATGAAGACGAGAATAATACAAAGTAAAAGGGAATCAATGTTGGGATGTATCTGACTTTATGTGGCTTTGAAACGCTCAAACAACATGTTTTATATATGGGTAACTTTAGTGATCTGTCAGTGAGGTACTGAATAGGAAAATGGGCTCACAATCTTCCATGCAGTTCTTAGTAGGATCCTTCACCCCTCAAACCCCACATGCATGCACTAATCTCAATACTCAAAACTATAAATTTTACACGAACAATGAAAAATTCTTTTATGCTCTATTTAGCTTCCTGTTGAAACCTATCCTCCACCTTAGGATAGAAGTAGGGACCCAATCAGTAGAAGAAACATGCGTATCAATGGTAAATATATGTTCAGTGCATGCATGGAAAACTTCTTTCAGCAACATACAAGAAAATTTCCATATAAAAACTATGAATATCTTTTGTATTTTCAGACAAATATTGACAAGTAAAACCTTGAAGTTGTGACGTTAATTTCAAGTACAGTTTCCCACACGCTATTAATGAATGATTCTCACTGGGATACATGACCATTTAAGTTCCGTACCAGATTTAGAAAACCTGCTTGCATAAGTTCTGCCAGTTTAAAAAGTAGAACACATCTTTGTGACCGGATTTATGCCACAAGATTTTCTATCTGGCATAAATACAAACAAAAGAAGTTAAACTACAGAGTAAAGCTACGCTAAGCTAATTATCTAGTTATAAAATGTCTCATATTACTTCAATCTATGCTTGAAGAAGTTGTTCAATCACATAAATCTTATCTATATATGCCTTCGGATGTTCCTACTAAAAATGATAGATACATAACCTATCAGATATGCTTGTGAATGATCCTTGTAAAACTCGATGGAGACATCAATTAAAAATAATTGCACTCTTTCATGAGCTAGCTCGTTTGTGATTGCCATATTGTTATTATCACACACCCAATCAAACATGAAAATCTTCCTTACATGGTATCAAAAGAAATAAACAAGGAACAAGAAGAAAATCATAAGAATAAAATTATATTTATAAACAATATCGGTGCTCCAAATGTTTTACTATACCTCGGACCTGTAACCGAGCCTTAGCTCCAGATCTAGCTCTTCTATGGAGCTAGGGCTAAAATCAAACATCTGTGACTGCACATGATGCCTATCAACTGAACATGATTTGGGGAAGAATGGAATGGATGAAGCATCTGATTTTCTCTTCTTGAAACTTGTATCTGTCTCTTTATTTTCGAACTGCACAAGTGGGTGAGTTCGACTCATCAACAAGTTCATGCTCTCCCCTACCTCAGTTTTACCCTTGTCACCCTCACTCCTACACCCAGAATCCAATCCCAGCAAATTTTTTTCAACACTAGCTTCAAGATCGAGCCTAGTTGAACAAAATCTGAAGTCATGAGTTAAATTTGACCTTGATTTAGAGGAAAGAGAAGGGGAAGACTCATGACATCCTTTGAAAATTGAAGAATTATTGTAAAGTTGATTCTGGGGTTTCTCTCTGCATCTCTTGTTAACTGATGTGGTTAAAACCTTGGAAGGTGAAGCAGGAACATGAGAATCAGGATCAGAATTAGGGTTAGTGTTATGAGCCAATCCACTAAGAGAAGATGGGTATAAAAAACCCAATGAAGTAAAAGATATTTGAACCGAATCCTGGGGTTGAGTTTTTTCAAGATCATCACTGAGGATTTCATTCTGAGGGCTATATGGATGCTTTAGTCTTGCTCTATCTCTTCTGTGAACATTCATATGGCCTCCTAAAGCCTGTGCTGATCTAAATTCCCTTCTGCAAAAGGTACAAGAATATGATCGTGGTGGCCAAACGCAACCAGACCAAGCTGCATCTTTAGCAAAGGCTTGTTCTTCCCATGAGTGGTCCTCATACGAAGGGTAATTAGTAGAAGAATCATCAATACTAGAGCTCATAGAGTACTTTCTCTTACTCCTGATCAAACATTGACCCTCCTCCATTACGAGAGTATGTTCACCTTGATTCAGGAAAAGGAAAGGAATTAGAGAAGGGAATTTTGAGATTGTGGATGGAATTGAAAGCTACATAAGTCTACTATGGAAGGAGTTTGAGATAGATGGGGAGAGAGTGTGTGTGTGGAAGGTGAAGTGGTTGGTACTCTACCTTGAATGTCTCGGAGTATTGCTAAGATTTTTTATTGTATGGTATATTTTATGGTTGGCTTCCAACACAGTCAATCAGACATTAGTATGAATACTCCAAGTTCCCCTTTTCCTGCATTTTCTTTGTGAGAGAATGCGATGCAATGACTAGAAAATTATTCTTGTGGGTCCTTAAATTAGTTAAGTGAGGTGGCCATAGAGTATTAGTATTACAGACGCAAATCAACAAATCTGACTGAAATATCCTCTATTGAGAGATCCATGCCGCTTGGTATTCATAATTTACTATGTATACGGGTCTTTATTATATTTCCAGATATTATTATTGTTTGATGGGAAAATAAATTTTACAATTAAGCAAATGCTTTTTTTAATCTCGAATATAAGTAAAAAAAATATTTGGATATTGATTTTAAGTATATAAATTTTAATTGATTTTATCTTATTTAATAGATTATATATAAAATGCCCCTTTATTTTACTTTTATTTTTTTAATTCATATTTAAAAAAATAGAGGAATGATTGTTTTTCAATAAAATTAATATATGACTAAATATTACTCCCTCTGTTCAAAATATATGGCGTATTGGGTATAAAGTTTTGTTTCTAAATATTTTATGTTTATCAAGTTTAATAATTACTTTTACTAATTATACTCCTCTTTTAATTATATTTATTATATAGAGAAGAAATAAGAAGTGACTTAAATCTTTTTGTTGGAGAGAATATTAAGATGATAAGGATATAAGAGAAAAAGAGTAATAAATATATTAAAATAATAAAAATTAATACTTGTATTAGTTTGTGTAGTTAAACCTTGAACGAATAGGGAATACTAACTAACATTATTCTAGACCAGATAAAGAATCATATAATACATTTCAAAATGTAGTAAGGTATTGAGTGTAAGTGATTTGAGTTGAATCTAATAATAAGGTTGTGAAGACGATTTAATTATTTGTATCTCTTTACATGAAGAAGCTCAAAGGTATTTTTCATCAAAATCATTAACTATTTTTTTTTAAAGATTAAGTTGTTTCAACAGAAAATGAATATGGGAAAAAAAAATCTGGATGACCACATTAGTACATTTAAACTACTAGTATTTCATTGTTAAAGGTAAATGATAACATATCTAACAAGGAGAAGAGAGTTACTTTTAATCTTAATGCTGCCAAAAGATCTCATTGTTTGTAGGAAGAACATGTTCAAAGTTAGATGAGATGATTGCATGTATTAAAATGGGATGATGAATTATGTTGCCTCAAAGTAAAATTGATTCATGTTTGGCCTTGAAGGATGGAGCATCTGTTCATTTCAAGTTAGAAAACAGTGAGAGAATGAAAGTTCATAGTATTGAGAGCGTGAAACTGAAACTCGACAGGGTGTCATCTTACAATTAGTTCTTTCATAACAGATTTGCCAGTTTACAGTGGTGTTGCAAAGTGAACACTAGAGAGCTTCATCATGCAGAGAAAGAGAAGTGCGAAGAATATTGTTACTTAATAGGGTTGGTCAACATACAAGAAAATGATGTAGTCAAAGAGAAAAGATGATATAGCAGTTTCTTTAACGAAGTAGAAGTTTGAAATTTTTTAAAAGATATTAGTAGAATCAATTGATGAAGACCAAGTTTTGAATAAGCAATCACAAGTGCACTACAACAAATGAGGTCTAGTCCTAACCTTGCAATCACAACACCTCCATGAACACACCAAAAACGAAATGCTCAGTGAGTGACTTTTGTTGCATAAATCTTTGTTATCATGCTCCTTGAGACGACCGAGGGTAGATTCTTAGAGCAATTCCTGACCTATTTTAAGAAGTAGCCAAAGAAGAAGCAAAATTAAGAAGAGAATAAGCATCAGATGGTGAGAGCAATGTGAAGTGCGAAGAAGGATTGCATCAGATGGTGGTGTCGGAGAAGAATGGTGGTTGTTCATAAATAAAATAAAAACTAGTAATATTTTTTTTTCTTTTAAAGCAAATAATCTTATGTTTCTTCTATTTTTATATTTATTTCTTTTTAAATAAGTAAAAAATATTTTCACTCTATTTTTCACGCATTTCTCTTATTTTCTTTTCTCATTTGTTTGTCTTCTTCGTTGTTTTTCCTCTACGAAGAGGTTTTAAGTACTTTCTATTAAATTCGTAATCTTGTATGGATACACTTTTATGGGGTATACTGGTAAAAGATGTCAAATTTACCACCATAGTTGAAATTACAAGGTTTTGAGTGCGAAAATTAAAAAGTAATTGATTAATTACCCAATCATTAATTAACTTTTGTTTAAGAGAAATAATAGTATATTGAATCTGTTGTTTTCTTCCTGGTGCAGATATTTGCGTTACATTATTCTCTTCTCCAAGTATCGAATGAATTATAAAAGACGCACACCTGCTACACTGCATAAATTATATTGTTCTTTCCCAAGTAATTTCTCTCATTATTCTTTTCCTTTACCACCACACAGCTATTTCTGCAACATTAAAATATTCCCTCTGCTTTGTAGCTTCTTATGTCTCATTCTCTCTACACTAGTCATTTTTTTACCCTCACTCCGTTAAAATTAAGGGTAAGAAATGTATAATAAAGAATATTTATGACTTGAAATTCGTTTGATTAGAGGCCGCATGGTAGGATTTGACACTGGAATAGTAATATTTGATTTTAATAGCTCAACTCCTGTTTATTTTTTGTTGGTTTTGCTCATTATTTTAAAAAATAGCATTTAGTCGAATTAATAAGATAGCTAACAAGTTTCTCACACATTGTGTGATTATATATTTTTTAGAAGGTACAAATTATCTTTCACAGCAAGTAATTATGCTTGAGAATCCGTAAATACACGGTAATTTTTTTTCTGAATATTTAATGTACACTCAAATATTGTATGGGCTTATGGATATTTAAGAAAAATATTAAAAATATTTAGTAGTGTTAAATAAAAAATAATTTATGAATAAGATTATATAATTTTCAATTTTTTAATTAATGAAAAATAATTTTATTGATCATTTACAAATATCTAAGTAATTATTAAAATAATTGAAATAAGTAAACTTTAGGTATATATCTTATTACAAAAGTTAACAAAAATAATACGGATGTATTAAATCTTATAAATGGCTAGATATTTATTTTTATAAAACTAATCTAATAAGACGAAAAGATTATATTTATTTATATATTATAATGTTATTATTTCATTAGTTTATATGAGATATTTCAATGCGTCCTCTTATTTTGAGAGAGTATTTTATAATATTTTTTCATGTTAAGGAGAATTTTTTCATCATCGTTTAGATAAAGAATAAGTGGTATAATATTGATATTATAATGAGTGATTTAGTTTACGATGATTAACAATTAATGTTCTAGAATCTATAAAATTAACTCTGGTACTAATCGTGAGATACTTAATTCAATCTTATCAAACAAGCTCAGTAAGGTAAAAAATATATTCACTTATAACTTATCATATACCTAACAAAGATTTTCAACACACATACATACTCTCACATCGAGAATAATTTTTCATCACACTCCATTATATTAAGGAGCAATGGTCTAATATTGATTTAATAATGAATGAATTAGTCCATAATTATTAATAACTAATGTCCAAATATCGTTAAAATTAGCTCTGATATCATCTTAGAAATGATGACATACCATCAAATCCTATAAAACTGTTCAGTAAAACAATGATTATATTTATTTATATATTATAATATTATCATATCTAGTTGATGTTTGATTTTTCAACGCTAATATTTCAATAAATTGAAAAATTTGTTTTTGACTTAGACATAAAATAAAATTATGGTGAAGATATCAACTACACATTAAAGAACAAGAATTTTAATTGTTTGATATAAAAGTAAAAGATTTTGTATAGTAGATATATTATTTAGAAACAATATAAAAAATAAATAAATCCAAATAACAGCTATAAAAATATATATTAATAAAAAAGGTATGTGCTTGTACGTGTGCATGGGATGAACAGTGATAGGAGTTGTGAATCTCAGGACTAACCTTAATGAAGAGTATTAACATGAAGTCAGGTTGTAATTTTTTGTTTTGTTTTTCCATGACGAACATCAACCTTCGTCGTTTGAATATAGCTTAATAGTGTAATCACTTCATCCAGAATATTCTTATTTTTGTTTCAACCAATTTAAGTATATTTATTGATTGTAACCGGCCTGTAGGCTGCTATTCTAAACTTATCAAAAATTTCAATGACTTTCACTTACAAACAAGAACAAAAAATAAGTAGTTTTTTAAAGATATTAAATTGAATAGTTAATGATGAAAACGAAGGAAGGTGAAAACACGAAATCATATAATATGTAAAAAGGAAAAAGAAAGAGAAAGTATGCAAAATAGACACCACGCCAAAAAGTGCTTTTAAAGTAGTGTTTTTAAGCGAAAATTTATTTGATAAATCACAAAACGATAATTTTCAAATATTTATTTTTAAAAGAACATTATCTCATATGACATTTATTTGAATAGGTTATTTCATCGTCTACCCCTTTTTTCAAAATTATATTTTTTCAATACAAGTTGCACTTATGATACTATTTTGTGTTGTTTTATAAAATAACTAGTATGAGAATTAATTATAATCCACACTTCATTACATTTTTTTATTATACTCTCTTTTCTTTATTAGATTTCTTTAAAATTATAAAATATAAACCAGTTCATTAAATATAAAGTAAAACTTATAAAATTTTGTAATTTCCAAGCAAATATTTATTGAAACAGATGATATGTTTGTTCTAAATAATTAATTAATTAATTGTGAAAATGAACCTACCGACA